TTGATTCTTAAAACATCAAAATGTGATGTAGTCACACCATGTAATAAGAATCTCCAAATAGGAACTTAATAGAGTTAGATAGTGGACTTTACCTGAAGTAGAGTCAAACTTTTGACTTTACCGTCCTTAGACTATCAGGTAAATTTGGCAGCTTCGCAACCAATGCCCTATTCCTTTGTCAATAGACACATATGGACCCTTTGGTAGGACTCTCTCAGACTTAGTCGTTCTCTTTACCATTTGGTCAACCGAGTTAACTATGGCCGATCCCTTTTTCATTGGGAAGAGAAAGCTCTTACTGGATTTCCAATGTTACCATAATCAATGTCCTTGGAAGTTTGGGAAGTTGATCTTCCAATCAAATTTGCTTTACCAGTGCTCCAAATCATTGCTGATTCAGCAGCATCAAGCAAATGGGTAAGATCATTAAGGGTCATGTCATGGTCTGTCATATAGTAGCTCTAAAGGAACTCACTATGTGACTTAGAAAGTGATTGAAGATCCAACTTTCTCAAGACTTTGACACCCAACTCTCCCGGCTTGTCAATATGTGACTTCATCTCCAAGATGTGAGCACACATAGACTTTGCTCGTCAATAGGGCTTGAGTGACCTTGAACTTGTGGGTTAGGGAGAATAATTGGAGAAGGTGGGGAAACAGATTTGGGAAGATCATAGTTGTCTAAACCAGACATCTAAGATGGGAGATATTCAAGTTAGTTGATTTAAGTCCTTAATATAACACCCAATATGAAATACTAAGGCTAGGACCCAACACAATATTTTACAACTTGGAAGAGGGATGTCGTAATCCAAGCTATAAAATATTTGAAGGTAGGCGAATGACGATTCACCAATTTCCACCATGAAAAACGAAATAATTTATTAGGTTTTAATTGGTTTTGAAACTCCTAGATCTTTTGAGATTCATTGAACTTTTCAATGGCATGTTTTTAATCTCGATTGTGCCCTCTCAAATTTTGTGACTGTGATGCCGAGGATCACAAAACAAGGTGTGAATAACCATGCAAATTCACTTGGTACCCTTAATATTATCACCTAATCGATGTGCCGGTTAACCACACATGCTCCACCGATCTATGATAAACATTAAGTTACCCTTCGCCACTCTTACTAGTCCATGTTAGTGTGCCGGTTAACCACACACACTCCACTAACGACTTGGTAAGATACAAAGTGTAAATTTCATGGGTTAGCACCAAATTCACATTTTCCTAAGTAATTAAGATTGGGAATTTATAAGTGTTTAGTTACTTTGTATTTATCATTAATACTTTTAATGAAGGGAGAATTATAGTCCTGTCAAACCCGTTCGGCTAACGACCCTCCACCAGTCAAGGAAACGGTGGGTGAGAGTGGACACCCATTAAACTGCCATTTTATAGGCAGTAACCTTATACCCCCCTTATAGACCAGCTTCGTGAATGAGGCCTACTAACGGTAAGACTGACTTTTACTCTTATACATATATATAAATATTAAACCTATAATATTATAATAGTATAAGGGTTGAATTTTAAACTATTAAAATTCTAAGGGTTTAACTTGGAACTAAAGTATTCATGGGGGGAAACTTTACAAATTCCAAAACTTGAGGGCAAGTTTTGAACAATTCAAAAACCTTTTCAATTCCATAACTTATGAATTTAAAGTAGTTTTAATGAAAACTCTTCAAGTTCCATAACCTGAGGACAAGTTATGGAAGACTTTAAAAAAACATTTAAGGAAAAAATAAACTATTCATTTTCATAACCTATGGAAATCTTATGAGTTTTAAAGAATCATAAATGTGACTTTTCATATAACTTGAGGACAAGTTACAAAAACACATTTTATGAGCAACTTTAAGATTAATATGGATTGAAAATAAATTATCACATAACTTTTCTATTAATATAGACTAACTCATAAGAACAAGACAATTCAAATCAAACTTTTTCATGAAATTAGCCTAACCATTAAACTAATACAAAACATGAATCTATTGACAATTATCTTTGAAATTGGTTTAGCATGAACATTACCACATCAAAAACAGGTTTACAAGACCAAAAACAGCTTAGGGTAATGTTTCTAGTCCAATTCCAGCCTTAAAAGTCGAAAATATGCTGTCAGGGGGTCCTACTCGTCGAGTGCACGAACCAACTCGACGAGTTGGATGAATTTCTTCATGGACTCGGCGAGTCCAGCACTCAGACAACCAAAATTTTCGATTTTTCAGCCATTTTAGCAAGTATAACATGAAAACAAGCCTTGACTCTGATACCACTGTTGGGTTTTGGTATAATACAACATCCTATGGTGCACATACAACCCTAAATACCTTGGATCTATGTTTTCACTAATTATACATGCAAATGGTTTCCAAGGTATTGAACCTATAGCTAGCATGCAATTGTCATACAAACTACATAAAATACTAGATAGAGTAACATACCTTTTGTGTGGCTGGAAGTCTTGATGTATTTGGCCTTAAGAACTTAGCCCCAATAGTGTGGAAGCCTCAAATGAACTCACAACACATCAAGGACAAAGGTAGGACTTAAGAGAGAATCTCCATGCACTCTAAAACCTTCATGAACTCCAAGAACATGCACACACACACACACACTAAGGGTGGCTAGGGGTGGCGGTTTTAGGTCATAACATATGTATTTATATGTGTTGAATTCTAAGAGTCATGGGTATAACCCAAACCCATATCCATGGGTTTTATGATTCATGGTTCATGTGGCCCAACTCTTTATGTATCCATACATAAACTTGGTCCAACATGGATCATAAGCCCAACACATATAAATATAACTAATTAACTAATTAATTCGACGAATCGGTGGGAGACTCAACAAAATAATAGAAAAGAGTCATGCCAACATTTTGATAGAATTTTGATTGACGGTAACATATCCAGAATACCGATTAAAATCAACACATTGCTCTAGAGTTGGAGTTGGAGCTGGATAGTGAAATGGAGAGTACTCATTTGTAGCTTCATCTGGAACTGACCATGTATTAAGAACATGTAAGTTTCTAGATTTTTTTGTTGTTAGCAACTCATAAAGCTTGTCCGCATGAATATTGGCATTGGTTAAACCAAACATGCGATTTATAGGAGTCATTATATTTTGTCTGATCTTCAAGGTCTTCGATGAATATTGTTGAAGATTAGACTTGTGGTTATGGTTTGGCCTTCAATTAATATATATTTGATGTTGTTGGTATTGATAGTGCGGGGATTGTCGGACCGACAAGCAGGGATTTATCTGAGCGATTCAGCAGTTCGAGGTGAGTTTCCTCACTGGGTTTAATGGGTCGAAGGCACTAATGCTGGCCCATGATTATTATGATAGGATGCTAGATGTCTGCGTGACTTTTGGAGAGCATATTATTTTGTTCCACGATGTCGTGCTTTTTAGATTCAGGTATTTGATTCGGAATAATCTATCGTATTTAACACGGAGCACTTTCTAGCTTTCTCCTCGATGCTGTTTTGCTGTTAATGAGTACCTTTCGTAATCCCATTAGGCTATAATTTAGATTACATTCAATGCCAGTTTAATATGGTAACGCTCCAAGTGTTCCAGCATGTTAGTCAGATGCATAATCGAGCTCCTATTTTATACGTGGACTGTCAAACCCTTGCTGCATTAATTGTGAATTGCGTTCATCTTTTTAAATTGGCATTATACTTTGAATTTAGTTGTGAACATCATCTTTGGGATTCAACTATCTATATCTGAATTTCGAGGGGATAAAAACAAGGACTCTCTTTAGAATTCAAGTTGTGGGATTAGTATTGTCGTAGAACAGGGTGCAGCTTCCTAGATCTTTACATAATTTAAAACATAGAAAGTATGGGCCCATGAAATAGCAAACTGGAAACTTGAAAGTAAACTTGTTATTGGGTACAACTTCCTAGATCTTTACATGAAATTTCCTAGGTCAACCATTGGTGGGTCAAGTCAACCTCTGATGTTAATGCATCTGAAGAGAAGAAAAGGCATTCATCTTTTGAAATAGTAACAAAGAAATTCATTTATCTGGCATCTTAGTGTATTTTTTGATCCATCACAAACCATAGTACTAAGAAACATGTTTATCATCACTACTCTCATACTTCTTGTTACCATGTTGAATATTATTGTTTATTATCTGCAGCCACACCAGGAAGAAGATGGTGATGATATGGAAAACTCAGTGTCATTACCATCTCATCAACTATGCCGTCGCTTTTCACTGGCTGGGATCAAATTGGCCACCCATGATTTTGATGAAGCATTTGTCATTGGAAAGGGTGGTTTTGGAAAAGTTTACAAAGGTATTATTGACACTACTCTTGTTGCCATGAAGAGATTAAATTTTGATTCCAGTCAAGGAGCACCCGAGTTCTGGACAGAGATTAGTATGCTCTCCAAATTTCGCCACAGTCATCTCGTGTCTCTAATTGGATATTGCAAATCTGGTCAAGAAATGATCCTTGTTTATGAATACATGCCCAACGGAACTCTTGCAGATCATCTACACAAAATCAATCCTAGAAGTAGTAATTCTTCTTTATCATGGGATGAACGCCTCAACATATGCATTGATGCAGCACGTGGTTTGGACTATCTTCACACTGGTACAAGTGTTAGGCACAGAGTCATACATCGTGATGTCAAGAGTTCAAACATCCTCTTGGATGAGAATTTTTCAGCCAAGATTTCAGACTTTGGGTTATCAAGAATAGGCCCTTCGAATCTGGTGGACACCACACATGTTTACACGAATATGATTAGAGGAACATTTGGCTACATGGATGAAGAGTATTTCTTGACTAGAAGACTCACAAGGAAGTCTGATGTGTATGCATTTGGGGTGGTCTTGTTTGAAATACTATCTTCTAGGCCTGCAGTGAACCTAATACTGGTAGAAGAACAACGTGGTCTGGCTGGATGGGCTAGACACTGCATCAGAGAAGGAACTGTAATAAATAAACTAATGGATCCTTGTCTAAGGGGGAGAATATTGCCAACTTGTTTGGAAGCCTTTGTGGAGATTGCAGATCGATGCATCCTTAAATGTCCAAAAGCTCGCCCAACTATGGCTGAAGTAGTGGCTAGACTCGAGTATGCCTTTGCATTACAAAAGGGGATTGAGATTGACACTTCTGCAGTTGATAGGAACAACCCCACCACCACTGACATATACAATAATAGTAGTGAAGATGCTGTGATTTCTTCTGAAGTGCAGGAAGTCATCAGTCATAGGTATTCTTCTACCCACCTGGAGGTTACCACTGCAGACAATGGTTCTTCACTTCACAGTGAGCTGATGAATAGGGATAGTCCATCTGCTAGTGTAAGTCGCATGCAAAAGTTTATTGGACAAACAAAAAAGAAGAGAATTGTTAGAAAGATCTGGTCAATCTTCTCAGCAAAACCAAGAGCCAACCCAGGTAAGCCAAATAACTTATTTTCTGATTATTATTTTGTTAAAGCTCACTGCATGCTATATTTGTAATCCCTTCGTATATCTGTAATTCCATCCGATATTTTGTAGTTTGTCCATTTTCTTAGTCTTGAACTGTATAGGATTGGATGCGATTGGTTTAAACTAGAACTCATTCCTCTTTCTTAAGTATTTCTAATAGTAGTGAAGGTACTAATGTTTCCTAGCTCTTTTGAGTCTACATTTTTCGATACATGTTCAACTTTGAATATAATTCCTTTCCTAGTTAGGGCAATGTTTCATGTGAATGATCCTACTGATCCCCTAAATTGCACAAGGGAAAAAAAAGATGTTAATTATAAAGTATAAACAGTACCAGTGAACCCATGTCCTTGAGGGATAACAGGCTTTACTACTCTAGAGGAATTATAAACAATACTGGTGAACCCCATGTCCTTGAGGGTATGCTTGACTACACAAGAGAAAATGAGAAATCTTTGATCTCCAATTAGAAAGTTTGTTATTGAGCTCTTGATTAATGTGTAACAAAAGAGCTCACTTGTGAAATTATTAAAAAAAACTTCAAACTAAATGCCAATCCAATAAACCTTGTGTAAAGTCGTTTTTCCTTATTTGTGCTTCTTTTCTTTGTACCCCTAACACTTTGTTCTTTATGAAGTTGTAGGTGGTGGATTAAGTTCAGAATCCTCTGTTTTGCTCGATGACATTCATGGAGGCAATATAGAAGCTTCGCGATTTGAACTTGACATCATAAAATCTGCAACTCAAAATTTCTCTGAAGACAACAAAATTAGGCAATGTGCAACTAGTTCCATGTACAAGGTGATGAAATAGAACAAATTACACGAATGGTCCTTTAGGTTTTGGTTTTTTCCCTAAAGTAGTCCCTACGATGGTTTTTTCTCTCAAATGGTACCTACGGCCGTTAAGTTGCACGCGAATAGTCCCCGAGTTGGATGCCCGTCCATTCCATCGTTAACATGCCCCCATGTGACTTGCACATGAGGGTATTTATTGTTAGGATCGAGACACTTAACACACGACTCTAAACACACACACAGCTCACGAAAAACAAGAACACAAGGATGAACATGAGGGATTTAACGTGGTTCGGTCCTTCTCTGACCTACGTCCACCGGTAACTAGGAATTTACATTTCTTGGTGCTAATCTGCACTCGTTCTGTGTTACACTAGATACAAGTTTTACAAATGAAAGGAAGAAGCCTATTTATAATATTTTGAGTCGTAAGCCTTTTCTTCCATTCACATACATGTGAAATTGATAAGGCCACCATTGTTGAAATTCTGCAGCCATAACAATTTTTCCATGTTCACATGAGAGTCCTTGTTTCCTGCCACTTCTTTTGACTAACCCAATGGCTTCACACTCAACAATCTCCCACTTGAAGCCACGAAACAATCTTCACCATTGCTTCAACTGTGTATCTGTATTTCTGTAAAAACTTTTGATCTTGACTCCTTCCTAGTTACCCTGGCCTTCTCTTCAATTTACCTTAAGGCTAGTTGAAGCTTCCGTTAGCTCCAACACATCAGTCATGGCTAAGTCTGCCACTGAACTGTTCTCTGTCTCCACCGGCTCCCACTGAAATGAACTGCCCGATCCTGGAACATCCTGAGAACAAACGACACTCTTCATGTGAAGCAGATAATCTGGAGAGACTTTTACAGATGGAATACTGGTTCTCTTAACCCACTGTGTTCTGGGTATTCTAGCTGAAGCACAGCCCTTGCTCCCACTGCTATGAATGCCCTTGACTGGTTTTTCTGAACCGTTCCAAACACGTTCAACCTGAATCTGACATGTGACTCTGGGTTTGCCATCTGCAAAGCAAACCTTCTTCTGTCCACGAGACTCTATGAACCGGATTTTGTTTTTCTTCTGAACTGGGACGGTTACTCCCTCAGACGGTAAACTGACCATATATAATGAACCCCTCTTATGTCCACGAGCTATCACAAGATTTCCTTTGACAACCTTCCACTGCCCATTCCTGAACTTAACCTCGTGTCCCTGTTCATCCAACTGCCCAACAGAAATCAATTGTTTCTTCAGACTTGGAATTACCCGGACATCCTTCAAAGTCCATGGACCAACTGGAGTCTTCAGATCTAAGTCACCTATGCTCGTCACATCAAGAACCTCATCGTTCGCCAGTCTTACCTTACCAAAATCCCCTTCTTTCAGATTCCGCAGTGCTTCACGGCTGTGGGTAGCGTGAAATGAAGCACCCGAATCCATAACCCAGGAATCCACATTGCTCTCCACACTACAGATCAAAACATCATCATCTGAATGGTCTACTGCAACGTTAACTTCTTTCTTGTCTTTTGGACATTGATTCCTGAAATGTCCAACCTCTTTCCAGTTCCAACAAGTCACATCATTTTGAGTCCTCGACTGACTCCTTCTCCTGTTCCCGCTTCCACTACCTCTGTTATTTCTTCTACCTCTGACCGCATTTAATTGTTCACTTGATGATTCCTCGGAATTTCTTCGTCTGACGTCTTCGCCTAGAATTAAATCCCGAATTCCCTCAAAAGTGAGCTCTTTCGATCCTGCGGAACTAGTAACGGCTGTAACTGTTCCGGACCAACTGTCAGGTAATGATGATAACAGTAGTAAAGCTTGAACTTCGTCCTCAAATTTTATTCCCACTGACCCAAGTCTGGATAAAATCGAGTTCAAATTGTTGATGTGTACTGTAACTGAACTTCCTTCCCTCATCCTCATGTTGACTAGTTCCCGAATCAGGAAGACTTTATTTGCTGCCGACGGCTTCTCGTACATATTAGACAATGCCTCCATGATTCCCTTTGCCGAGGTCTCCTTCAAAATGTTGAAGGCAACATCCTTTGACAAAGTCAGTCTAATAAATGTCTTGGCCTTCTTATCCAAAGTCTCCCAGTTTGCTTGTGTGATCGCCTCCGGTTTTTTCACCTAAAACTGCGTCCAAGTCTTTCTGTACGAGCAAATCTTCAATTTGCATCTTCCACCAACCAAAATCTTTCCCATCAAACTTCTCAATCTGAAGCTTACTGCTTTCTGCCATTTTCTGAAAGATTAGGGGCTAAACTGCAATTTTCTGAAAGTTCAGGGGCTAAACTGCAATTTTTCAAATCTGCTACAGTGTTGCTACAGTGTCGTCTTCTCCGGCGGAACTCCGGTCTACAGTGTCGTCTTCTCCGGCCAAACTGGTTTTTCCGGTCACTATTCTGGTAACCTTTGACCGGCGATTTGGACGTCTTCCGGTGGTCAAAAAAATTCAGAAAAAAATATTTTCGGAATCTTCGGAACGAGACCTTTCCAACGGTATACACCAAAATCGTTTTTGACGAAAAAAAAATTTCGACCAAAAACTTAAAATCACCTTCTGGAGCTACAACCTTGCTCTGATACCACTTGTTAGGATCGAGACACTTAACACACGACTCTAAACACACACACAGCTCACGAAAAACAAGAACACAATGATGAACATGAGGGATTTAACGTGGTTCGGTCCTTCTCTGACCTACGTCCACCGGTAACTAGGAATTTACATTTCTTGGTGCTAATCTGCACTCTTTCTGTGTTACACTAGATACAAGTTTTACAAATGAAAGGAAGAAGCCTATTTATAATATTTTGAGTCGTAAGCCTTTTCTTCCATTCACATACATGTGAAATTGATAAGGCCACCATTGTTGAAATTCTGCAGCCGTAACAATTTTTCCATGTTCACATGAGAGTCCTTGTTTCCTGCCACTTCTTTTGACTAACCCAATGGCTTCACACTCAACATTTATGTCATTTCCCTCGAATGGTACCTATTGCTAGGATTTCCCTAAAGTAATATAGGCGTTAATAATATGTTCAGAAAAGGTCCTTTAGGGTAAAATGACATAAATACCCTCATGTGCAAGTCACATGGGGGCAGGTTAACGTTGGAATGGACGGACATCCAACTCGGGGACTACTTGAGGGAAAAAACCATCGTAGGGACTACTTGAGGGAAAAAACCATCGTAGGGACCACTTTAGGGAAAAAACCAAAACCTAAAGGACCATTTGTGTAATTTGTTAGATGAAATATGAATGTCACTTGACATCATTTCAAAAATTGTTCCCACATGATTACCCGTTTTTAACTTATGCTTTCACATCTTTTCAGGGTAGGCTACAAAATGGACAAGGAATTGCAGTTAAGAGATTTCATACGTATTCTCAACAAGTGCTCAGAGAATATAAAAACGAGATTCAATTACTGGCAAAGCTTGAACATGATAATGTGGTTCAACTGCTTGGATATTGTGTGGAAGGAACACATGTGGTTCTTGTTTATGGTTTGGCTGTGTACACAAGTCTTGACCTCTTGATATATGGTAAGATTGGTACATTTTGGAAACTCAAGGTTATACTGGGGTCCCATTTTTTATATGAGGTAAACATTGACAATGGATATATGCTCTGTGTTTGTAGATTTTTCAAGTCGTGTTCTTTTGGACTGGAATAGACGACACCAGATAATACTAGGTGTTGCATTTGGACTTCGCTACATTCATAGCCATGCTTCTTTCCAGATTGTACATTGTGATGTGCAATCTGCTAACATTCTTTTGGAAGAAAGTTTGAATCCCAAACTATCAGATTTTGGGCTTGCAACAACTCATGCAAACAATGAGACTGAGATGCATGTTGCAAAAGACATTATGAGGAACAGGTCAGTATACATCTCTCTTGAGGAAAAAAAAAAAACTTACATGAGAAAGTAGCATTAACAACAGGCAACCAGGCTATGTGGTTTTTTGGAATCCTTGATGTCACTGTTACTTGACAAATTTAATATCTTCACCTAATGTTCTTTTTCTTTGGTTTCTATGATCTCATTGCCAAAGCATGGGTAAATTGTCCCATAAAAGTTATCACCTACCCCCACACATGGATGTTGATAAAAGTGTTTTACTATTTGTCAAATATCCAGAATTAAGTAGAAAATACTAGTAATGTAGACTTGTCAATCTGTTGGTTTGAGTTCATATACTTTGCCTCTCTGTATATGACGAAAACAATTGCTTTCTATCATCTTTACACCTTTTCTCAAGCATCAAACCACCGTTTTGTAAAACTGCTATAGAGGGCTCATTTCAAAACATATGAAAATCCTTACAAGTTATCAATTTGGAGATCTGAACCCAATTATTGGCTCTAAGGTGACACTTTCTCTAATATGTTCTTAAATTTATATAGTTTTGTGATGGATTATAATACTTGCAAATGTGCAGGGAATGCTCCCCTACAGCCGATGTCTTCAGATTTGGTTTGTTGATTCTGGAAATTATAAGAGGCCAGAGAAGTGATGAAGACTTCATTCATTATGTGAGTATCACCATGGATAATGAGATTTTAGCAACTTAGGTGGTGGTGTTCTCTTTTTGACTTGGTGCTTAATGGTAAAATAGCTGAATGGGTAATGATGTCCCCCTGATAAAGTGCTGTATAGGGTCCGTTTCTTTTCTAGACTGAATAAACCGTCTGAATGAGACCATTTTACCCTTACATTCCAAAAAACAAACTTAACAATTCATCAATTTTAACAATATTCATCAATTTTAACGTGATATGAGTTGGATGAAAAAAGAAGGGCACATAGGAGGTAAAGGGTTAGTGTCTTAATAAATTAAGCTATGTTTTTTGGCTTAACCCATTAAGTCACTCTGTCCAGATTAAGTCAAAAAGAAACAATCATGTATAGCTGTCCAGATTAAGTTCTTACTCCATTAAAGATCATTAAGTAAAAAAAGAAACAACCCTTTAGTCTATGAATACTTATGTTTTACGTAATGCAAAAAAAACGACTTAATAGAGACGATTATGAAAATGAGGCATTTCCCATTAAGTCCCAACTTTTTACAAATTTACCCTCGTTTACTTTTTCTTTGTTTTCTCCAAATATGCCACCATTTTGTCAAATATTCTTTTAAAGTAACCACATTTATGTAGACAACATTTAGTGCTAAAAAGAAACAGGGCCTTACCCTTATGATATTTGAACATATGCACTTAATCAATTAAAAAGCGTTTTAGGCTTGGCAAAATTGGTGGAAAGGAACAGCTTCAAATATAATAGATCCAACAATGGATGTTGATTCGAGTATCATAACAAGATACATTCAAATTGGGTTGCTGTGCGTTCAAGTAGATGCAGCTGAAAGACCAACTATGGATGAAGTTATTGTGATGCTACTGAGAGGCTCATCCCTTACCCTCCAAATCCCAAAAGAGCCTGTAATGTTGACAGTGTCCATGCCATCCATGCATGATATTGATGAGTATGAAGATTTAGAAACTTTGGAGCCAGATGATGAAAATAATCTGCAAAAGTTGGTTGAAGACCATAATTTTGAGATTTCTGAGACTGTTCAGGACTTCATACAGGAGTTAAATCTAAACCCCAGGTAAGTAGAGTAGTGCTTTGAGAGATAACACCCCATATGAATTATGATGGCTGGTGATTATGCTTCTGTTAAATACACTAAGTGTGTAGTTACCTTATGATTATCATGCTTGCATATGTTATTCCAGATAGCATTTATCATGTGTTTGAATGTGTAAAATCGTGTTTTCTGGTGTCGTATCTAAGTTTACAATATAGTTTACTATTGTGTAGTTGTCGATCTTTTGTTGACCTTGTAGGAAAGTTCATTGAAATGTGGATGGCTAGTTGACTCCGTAAGTAATATTATTAAGCATGCAAAAAGGTCAATAACCACTTGACAATAAGAACATGACCTTATTGTTGACGTGAATGTGGTTATTGGTTTATCCGAGTTTACATTTGGAGTTAAGGCTACTTTGAGACTGACTTGTAAAAGCAGGGTAGTTTGAGATTGCCTTGCAAAAATAGGGGGGTTTTGAACTGGGCCACAATGTAACCAAGATGTTTAAAATGCTACAAATATGACCTTTCACGTTTTCATATTTAACTATTTCACATGCATCATGTTTTTATTTGCATCCGTTCTAGTTATTTTTTCTAATATTATTATATTATTTTTTGTATAAACTTTTATTTTATTAAAAGTATATGGTTAAAAATTATGGATAACCTAATAGAATATATTATTTTGAAATATATAATTCAAAATATATTAAAAGAAATATATAAATAACAAAATACATAATTTCATACATTAATCGTCAATTAAAAATAAGATACTTTAACAAATTACATTGTTATAACAGAAAAAAAAATCCAAATTGGTTAATAGCTTTGGATTTCTGATTGACCGAGTCAGATGCACAAGCTACTCACATCAAACACCCTAATTGGACCGAGTAGACATAAATGTCTTACCGGTCAGACCTATTTCAAACAACCCCTATGTTTGCTCGCTTGAGCAATCCATTAAACTTCCCTGTTAGGATCTCTTCATCAGTATCATAAAGATATTTCCCCCGACATTATCATACATTATCTTACGAACAAAAAAATCGAGAAAAATTCAAACCAGTGCAAACTAAAGCATAGAAATGAAGATATGTGAGATAGCATCTACTGCTCCATTAAAATCATATCAATGTTGTTCAATTCTGACGCCTTGTACACACATTGCTTCCACATCGAAGAACAACGCTGATTATGATATTTCATTTGAACCAAAACACGCAAATCAACAACCAATAAACTATGAACATGAATAAACATAAAGAAAACCAATAATATATGTTAAAAATCTTACGAAATCGTAGTAAACATCATTTGGTGAACATATTATTCAACGCAATAAACATCGGTTACAATGACAATCGAAAGATCAAAGGCGGTCAGGTGGCCTAGAAATGTGCTCATTGAAATGAATAAACAATTTCCCAATGTGGACTCTTAAACATGTGTTCTTTACTCAGTTCAATGTCACAATTGGGGTTCACATTCTCAAGGGCAAGTATACAAAGGTCCAAGCTGGTCCTAAGACCTATCTAAAATTTTAAATTTATTTTGACTTTTTATAGGAAATTTTTTAGGAACTACCTTGAAAAAAATTATGACCTACATCGGTGCAACAAGGAAAAAAAATATACATATACCTTCTTATATAAAGCAAGTGATTTTGTGTTTTTAGTCATCAGTTATTAAGCAAAAAACTATGTACACCCAATTTGAGAATTGGTTTACAAACCGTAAGTCAATCGGGGCTGCTAGTAATATCAAGTCTGGAAATGAGTTCAAAAATTATATTTCTTAAACACCAGTTTTTTTACCGGTTAAACATCTCCGGTTCAACCAATGATTCACAAAACCGGACAATTTCTGGTTTAATTGTATTCACAAACTTTTTAAAGTTTGTGAATCGGTGACGACTAGTTTCTTGTTGAACTCTCAACCTGGTCGGTCCAGTTTTTAAGGTATATGACACGATCAGTCGCATGCATTGTTGATTATTTCATTATTTTTATCGGTTTGACTTTTAATTAGGGAACCACATAGTTTTTGTTATAGATTCAACACTGTTAGTTGCAAGCATGATGAACCTTTCATCAATAAAATATAATAAATACCTAGGTTGCTCTTTCAAGCATGATGAACCTTTCATCAATAAAATATAATAAATACCTAGGTTGCTCTTTCAAGTTGCTTTGGAGTTTGGCCTTACATGTGATTATTCAATTGATTGAATGGACTCGTTTGGAAATGTAAACATATATGTATGTGTACTAATCACTCCTATTAAATAAATATTAAAACATATACAGGAGGGAAGGTACAAAAAGAGAAAACTTGCTAATCACTTCTTGCAAACAAATTTTAAAACATTATACAATGTTAGAAATTTGGGTAAATCGATTGTTTGGAATCCATTGAAAATCGTGAAACATTTTCAAACTGAAGTATTCCGATGGTACAAATCGAAAGTTCAATTGGATAAAATTTAGTGGTTTTCGAACGAAGAGAATGGTAGAATATTATGTTCTTGTTAGTACCAGAATTAGGACCAAAAACGGGTACTAACCCTTTTTATGAAAACTGACATAAAAATTGTCATAAAACAATTTACAACCATCAATTAATCGACCCCAGCCAGGGCTTTGCCCTTTGGACCCCGCTACTAGGGGCGCTGCCCTCGGACCCCGTCATTTTAGGGGATTGCTCCTAAATGACAGTAGAATCTTGAACAAAGCCAAACAAGTGTGCACCGCCTTTACTTGTTCAATGTTTATCAAGATTGTATTTGGTCAATAAATTAATCCATTACATTTATATAACATTGGTAATATAAATCACCAAACATACAATAGGGATGGTACAAAAAAAAAGAAATCATTCAACCATGGACAGTACTAGGATCGACAGAAGCATATAAGAGGATGTCAGGGTCACGCTCGAGTATGTTCATTTCTTCTTGGCTTAGTGTTACCCATGCTTCAACCCCATCACTGTTGCTCGTATCCATTAATAGTATTGAATTCGGATAAAGAGGAACATTGATGTTTACATACCAAAACTTGATCACACCGACCGTCCCCATCCAAAATCAGCGTCATACATACCAGAATGGCACAAACTACTTGACGAGTGGTAATCTGCATCATAGATTCACATGTTACTCGCTAATCGTTACATCTCATCGATAAGATTATCAGGCCCTTGTTCGCCTTTAAATTTCTCAACAAAGCTTGTGTCAACTTTCGCTATAGCATCGTTAATGTGACCCACCATGGTATCCAACCTTAAGTTGCTACCATGAGGTGGCTACCGCCGTGAACCGCCGTCGACCACCACCGCCCGAGGTGGCAGTGGGTGGTGCTTGACCTAGTGAAACCCTAATTGACCTAAAAACTTAACTTCGGATCTAGTTGGCATGTGTTTGGGTTGGAAACCCTAATTAGGGTTTAGAAAACCCTAATCTTGGAAAGTGTTGTTTGGGACTTGCCGGGACCCGCGTTGTGGACTGTTGGATTGGAATTATGAATTATGCCCGGCCACATTGTATGATTGACCTAGTAGAATAATGAACTTAATGGATTAAGTACTTAATGGGTTAATTGTTTCTACTTAACCCTAATCGTCATTTTATGAGAAAACCCTAATTGTGTTGGGCTCGAGTTGGGCCTTTTCTTTTGGGCTTAGGTGTTTGGGTTCTTAATGGACCATCTAAGAACAAGTGTATGGACTAGGATATTTGGATGGACTTTGGGGTAAGGCCCATGTAAGGGGGTTTGGGCCCAATTTTGAAAATTGGGCCATAGTTGGGCCTTGGTTGGTTATTTGGCTTTTGGGCCTTGGTTCGTCAACCTGGTCAATGGAACTGTGATCTTGGAGAAATTCTCAATAAATCTCCGATAATACCCAACTAAACCAAGGAAACTTCGAATCTCGGATAGAGACCTAGGAACCTCCCACTGTATCACAACCTCAATCTTGGTCGGATCGACGAATATACCCTTCTGGTTGACAAGGTGCCCCAGAAACTGCACCTCACGCAACCAGAACTCATACTTGGAGAATTTGGCATATATCCTCTCCATCCTTAGAGTCTCTAGAACCTCTCACAGATGATCCTCATGGTGCTCCTTGGTCTTAGAATAGACCAATATATCATCAATGAATACAATGACTAACCGATCCAGCATCGGTCTGCAAACCTATTTCATGAGATCCATGAACGTTGTTGGTGCATTGGTGAGCCCAAAAGGCATCACTACGAACTCGTAATGACCATAACGAGTCCTGAAGGTCGTCTTATGAACATCCTCATCTCGAACCCTCATCTGGTGATAACCCGAACGCAAATCAATCTTGGAAAGCTAAGACACACTCTACAACTGGTCGAACAAATCATCAATCCTTGGAAGCGGATAACGATTCTTCACCGTCAACTTGTTTAGCTCCCGGTAGTCAATGCACATCCTGTGGGAGCCATCTTTCTTCTTCACGAACCGAATCGGTGCTCCCCAGGGTGAACTACTCGGTCTAATAAACCCCTTGTCTAACAGCTCCTGTAGCTATGTAGACAACTCCTGCATCTCCGGCAATGTTAATCGATAAGGTGCCTTGGCTATCGGATCCGTACCTGGAACAAGATCTATACGGAACTCCACCTGCCTCTCTGGAGGCACTCCGGGCAAGTCCTCCGGGAACACATTTGCATACTCTCGAATAATCGACACATCATCAATCGTCCTCTTCTTCTCCTCTCTGATATCCAATACGTAAGCCATAAAACCAAAACAACTTTGTTGTAGATATCTCCTAGCTCTCGCAGCTGAACAGAGAGTCGGTCCATGCTGAGCACCCTCACCATGAATGACTAGTTCTCCCCTTCTTGGGGTTCGAACCTAAACCAACTGGTGCCCGCAGTCAATCATCGCCCAATTAGGGCTCAACCAATCCATTCCCACGATCACCTTTCTCTCACGCAAAGGAATAAGAACCAAATAAATCGGATAACGCTCGCTAAATA